GCCGTTGTTGCTTCAGTATGATTCAACTGTAGAGGAATGAGGAATCTGATACAGCAGAGTCCCATGGTGTTGGTGCTAGCATTCGAAAGAAGATTGGGAATGATGTTTGGAACTGTTGGAAATTGTGATGTTTGGAAATGTTGGATGAGGTAAATTGTGATATGGAAATTGTGATGTTTGGAACTGTTGGTTGAGGAATCACTATATTTCTTTGTCAACATTACTACTTTGACGTGAATGATTGCTATTATGATTTGATGTGGTCTTTTAATCTTATTGAATTTAATAGCTAGTCGTCTAATGATTATAAATTTTACTTCATTTTTTATGGTTTTTTTGTCGGAGTCGGTGACTAACGTTTGTACTTCCAACGGTAATCGACACGACTACGAAAGCTCCAATACATTTTTGAAACTAGGGTAAATTCAATTGCGCAAACAAATACCAAATTTACTGTTAAAAAGCATCGGTCGACTCCCTTTTTATTCTTCCTCGGATGTTTTGTAGGTTACCGTATGTTACAAATAATGTTGGGTAATGCTAATAGTCTCTGCTCTGCAACATGCCATTGGATAGAATTGTATATTTCTCACTTGTTATACATCAGGCCATTCACAGTGGTATGTACTTTCCTTGTATTACATATCTCGTTTATTTATTTTCTTCTGTTAGGGGTTAGAAAGCATGTACAGTTTGGTACAGAAAAACATTCAATTGAAACCAATGGCCTCTGCACATAAGTTGATGGGGCTTATAATTGAAATTCTTGGGGAAAATACTGAGGTGACAAATGGGGATAAAATATTAATTTACAATCTCCGTTAAATTCTCTTTTTGCTTCCTTATCTTTAAGTTAGATTGTGCTTTTTTCTGTTCTCAGGTTGTTTTAGCAGAATGCTTGAAAGGATTTGGTCCTTGGTAAGCTGTCATATTTCCATATTTATATATTTCAGTTTGTTAGGAATGCAGTTTTAGAGCCTTTTTCTGGGTGCTATTGATTTAAAATATGTTTGGTTCGATAAGCTGTTAGAAGTTATCATGAAATTCAAGCTTGGATGTTTCTGCACAATTATTAAGATATGTCTCTATATTTTGCTTATCATCATGATGGTTGCCCATGCCATAGAGTTGTTGACTGCTGGGACTGACCATGCAGAAATGTGTTGTTAACTTTTTTAACGTAAGATATAATGGATTTTCATATAAACTGATGATTTATTTGGATATGAAACTAGAGATCGGGTTTGCATTGCCATGGATGGGGCCTTTTCAAGTGGCATGCCAATTGGAGTAAGACCTCATGAAGCAAAATATCTGTGCAAGAAATGACAGGACGATACTAGCTCTGCATCATTGTTTTCCCATATAAACTGGATTATCTCTTTGAATTTAAGCGCCTCATTGTGACGAAGAATTTTGAAGAATGTGTAAGATTAGAAGCAAAATATCTTAGATATTATTGTTTATTATAGTTAATAATGTTGAACAACATTATATTTTACGTTAATGTAAACTTTGATTTATTATTATGGATTTCATTTTTCTTGTTATGGATTTTAAGTTTGTTGTTATGGATGTAAAGTTTATTGGAAAATGCTACAGGTTAAATTTAGGTAATAAAAGAGTAGAAAACAACATTTGACAAATTAGTTCTAATTTGCAAAATCAATTTCTTTTAGCTATAGAGAGGTAATTAGCGGCGTTTGTATCTTAAAACGCCGCTATAGATATGACCTTTTGCAGCGTTTGTTCTAAAAAACGCCGCTATATACTAGATCTTTTGCGGTGTTTGTGGGAAAAACGCCGTTAAATCTCAAGACCTATTGCGGCGTTTGTGGAAAAAACGCCGCTAAATCTCAACACCTATTGCGGCGTTTGTGGGAAAAACGCCGCTAAATCTCAACACCTATTACGGCGTTTGTGGGAAAAACGCCGCTAAATCTCAACACCTATTGCGGCGTTTGTGGGAAAAACGTCGCTAAATCTCAACACCTATTGCAGCGTTTTTTGTTACCAAACGCCGCGAACTTTAGCGACGCTATTTTCAGCGGCATTTTTTGCGACGTTTGTCATAGTGCCACAGGTGTTTTTTGCGGCGCTTAAAAACGCCGCTATAGGTAAAAAAAAATGCCGCAAATGTAAAGTTTTGCTGTAGTGGTATATTGGAGATGGTGGCACCAGTGAAGTACACATTAACAATCTCCTACTTTATTTGCTTGTTACAATTTGCTCATGGTTATCCAAATTGTTTTTTGCAGGGTGAGTTTCATGCCGGTTTAAACTTTGCAGCAGGGTGGATGGAAATGATGCGCTTGCTGTTTACACTGCTATTTCTGCAGCTCGTGAAATGGTTGTAAATGAACAGAGACCAATCCTTATTGAGGTGAGTGCACATTAACAATCCTTATTGCTGTTTACACTGCTATTTCTACAGTTCGAGTCGAGTTTTAATATTATTTTTCGAGTTCGAGTTGAGCTTGAAAATTTTAGGCTCGCGAGTTTTTGAGTCGAGTTTACATTTAATTGTATCATTCATTTCTCATCCGCTCCACCTGCGGATGGTGAATGGAGTGGATATGGATGAAACTTTTGACGGGTGATGGATGGTGTGGATGGAGATTTAGACCGCGAGTGATGGAGCGGATGAAGCTTCAACCGATCCATCTCCGATCCATTGCCAGCCCTACTGCCATCGCCATTTAAATCCATTACACAATAGCGTGTTGCCGGTACCAATATTTACAATGAGTTGGAAAGGTTGGGCAAGTTGGCATAGGCATAGCATGTAGCCTAGTACAAATAGATGTTTTTCACACTTTTTTTTACCCAGATCTATGACATAATATCACTGTCACAATTAATTAGTTGAGTTCCAACTACCAACTGCCACACAGTAAAGACCAAAGACATGGTTGGTTGGTTGGTCGCTTCAACTTGAGCCAAAAAATTTGCAGTTCAGCACATGCAGTGCACCACACTTTGTTTCCTCTCTAAGCATAATTTACTCCTCATTTTCATCTTCTTATTCTTCTTTTCTATTCGGCTAACATGGAATGCTTTGGTTGGTCTCTGTTACTTTTTCCTTTTTTTGTTCCTCTCCAACTGGTTGTAAGTACCTTACAACCATCCAAATTCTTGGGTTAAAGACCTTGCAAACTCTTCTTTAGATCATGTTAGTTTATCTTGAAGCTTTGAAAGCACCCTTAAATATGATGGATCGAGGGATTAGTGGGGTGGATCGAGGGATTAGTGGGGTGGATCGAAGGAGATTGGCGGGGTGATCATCTCTTTGAAAGTTTTAAATTCTTATAGATTTCGATTCATATAATTAAACTTTTCTTCAGCCTCTGAGGAATCTTGAATAACTCTAAGAGGGAAGCCAAGTTTCATTCATTCACACTACTTTTCCCCTTCCTATTCGATGCTTTGGACAGAATTTTAAGGTAAAGTGATGAACGACCCAAAAACAAAATTAATATGATATTAAATTATATGGTATTGTAAAAAGAACAAAATAAATTTATTTTAAAAATGTGGGGTATGGGCTATGGGAAGATATCCTTCATATGCTTTGGAAGGATTCGGAATGGCCGGAGGAGAGACTCTTTTCTTTCCAATTTGTGTGAACTTATCTTTACAAAGAATATGAATATTGTAAAGCCTGATTTTTTTCCCTAGAGTGGTGGCCTCTAAATTCTCTTATCTTAGGCTTGAGCCTCAAAAGATAAAAAGATATTATAAACTTGATTGTAATTTAAAATAATTTTTTGGAATATTATAAAAATAAATTTAAAATGATATTTTTATTATAAAAATAAACTTAAGTGTAAAACCTGATATCTATAATGTTTGAATTTGAATCCTCAAAAAATAATAAAGACAATATTTTTTAAAATATACTATAACGTTATCATGTGTATGGTCTAGTATAATGTGCCAATGATGGGCAGAGAAAATGGACTAATGGTATTTGTATCCCCACATGCCAGTCCCTGCAGATAAGAAAAGGAAATCATAAGAACCTCCTAAAGTGGTTAGGGTGAACCAGATGCTTCCATTTCAATTATTCAGCACTTGCCCCATCCAAGTACACATTGGTATGCAATTTGTTTATTCAAAAGCTTCTCTAAAACTTCGCAGCTGCTATAGATTGCAATACTGAAATTTATGGTCGTTGTTGGAGCATGTAATTGGTTTTAGTATTTAGCTAAATTAATGTAAAATGATACTATTCACGAATAAAGATGTGTTCAGTTTATAAACAAATTTGTTTATTAGCTCATACATAAGCTAATTTATCAACTTATTTTTTGACTACTTTATAAGCTCATTTACTCGGTTTTCATTTTCTTTTAATTTTTAACATTTTAAATATTTATAAAGATATGAATTAAATCAAACATAAGATGAATTTTGGCTTGCAAATAAAAGGATAAAAAGAGGTGTTTGTTGTCTAACATTAAATAAATATGTTCGTGAACGTTAAGCGAACATATTTATGAAGAATGAATACAAACCCTTCGAAAATAAAATAAATGAATTGAACATGAGATTAAAAATTTAAATGAACACAAATTGACCATGAATATCTTTAAAAATAATCAAACGAATACAAATGTAATTTTATTTATTCAAATTCGACTCATTTACACTCATGATAATGTATACTCGATAATTAGATCTGCAAATTCTAGATTATTGGAACCCCAATGGTCAACCTCAAACTAGGTCCAGAGCTACTAGAATTATGTCAAAGCTTGTATGATAATAAATTATGAATTTCTACATTAATAATTATCTTTATTTAAGTAAAAGAAACGTACAATTTCTGCAAAAGACTTATTAATGTACAATTTTTTGACAACGTCTGAGGTTCACGTTCACAAGGAATCTTTGTTTGCTAATCACTATTTACGATGCGAAGAGTGATATCTCAACGGACAGATTAGGGCAAAAACATGTGGAGGAGGAGAATCAAGCACCAACACATGCAAACCATATACATAAAAGATAAAAAATATTTTAAATAGTCATGTGATAATAATTTTCTAAACATTACAATGGACTTATAATAATGACACCAAACATAAACTTGAAAGGACTCCAATGGCCGTTGCTAGGATAAAAAGTAACAGCAAGACCAGTCTACAAGGCAGATACCTCTCCTACAACATATTAACATGACACCTAAATAAAACTCTGCAGCAGCTCTACAAATGTCAAAAAAATTCACTGTAGAGGCTACCGGATAAAATAGTAGTAGGAAACCCTAAATGAAACTGGAAAAAGATTACATGAACGTAGTTGTGATTTTGTTTTCAAGACTCAAGAAAGTTCCCTGATGGCTTCCCAATCGATTTCCACTGAAGGGAACTTTTCCAAACTGAAGTTTTCAGTGTCTTCCCACTTTGAATCAGAGAAATCCAAGAAAGTGATATCGGATTCTGGGGAAGAAGATCCCGCCAATGATTCATGGGATAACCTTGGAGACTGATCCAACTCCTCCGTCTTCACCTTGGGTTTTGAGTCGGGAACGGGAGAGGTCTTCCCCAAGCTCTGACTGATGGCTTGTAGCTTTGCATCAACCGAGGAATGGAGAGGCTTGAAACCACCGTATTCATCAGAAACATGAGATCCTTGGTGCTTGAGGTGGGGGAAGTTGAGCCTGGCGAATTCTCCTCGGAGCATGTAAGCAGCCTTGTCATATGCCAAAGCTGCTTCTTCCGCTGTATCGAAAGTACCGAGCCAAAGTCTGGTTCGGTTCTTTGGGAGTCTGATTTCAGCAACCCATTTCCCCCAGTGCCTCTGCCTCACTCCCCTGTAGAGTTTTGCAGGCTTGGGAGGAGATGAGGACACATGTTTCATAGGAACAGCTTTCGGGGAAAGAAAGTTGAGCCTCTTGTTTTGAACAGGTGTTGTTGAAACCATGGAATCAAGCTGCTGTTGATAAATTTGAGCTTGAATTTGAAGGATTTGGGAAGGGTTGAGTTGGTTAAGCCCGATTGAACCCGTTTGCTCCAAACTAACCAGATTGTTATAGTTAAAGAACCCATGATCCATGTTAGGCTGTGGAGGAAGTTGAGAATATGAGAAAGAGGATGAAGAAGAAGATAAATGAAGAGTAGATGAAGCACTTTTCATAAAAGGTTCAAGTGCTTTCATTAACTCTTCTCTAAAAGGATCTGAAAAAACCGAGTTACTGCTGCTATTATACATATCTATAGCTGCTGCCATATCCAAAAACTAAAACAGCAATAGTTTGATAGAAGGAAAAAAAAAACAACCTTGAGGGAACAAAAACAAACCCTCTTAACTGATGAAGATGGAGATTAAAACTTTGCAATTGATTTAAAGGAAAAAGAAAAAGAAACCTGGATCTCTATTCTGGATCACCTGGCTTTCAAAAAACCAACCTCGTATAGGCTTGTTTAAAGCTTAGTTTTTTACACTAATTTGTTCAGCTTGAAAGACAGACGATTACAGAAAGGAATTCAGAGAAGCGGGGAATTGCAGAACAAAAGGGGGGAATTATGGAGAAAACTGAAATGATCGAACACTGTTGACAAATCTGAAATTTCTCTCAGTTTTTTTTTGGGTGGCCTCACTTTGGTGTTTTCTCTCTTGCATTTGGAGGGTCACCTTATGTCTTCTTAAATAAAACTCTGGACTCTGTCCCCCATGTGCTCTCTCTCAAAAACTCAACAGATTTTTCATAATTTTTACTTAATTACAGAATTAATTTAAATTTAATTTATCACCCTCTTTCTCGTCAACTTCGAAGATGCGATGATTCGGTGAGGATGGGTATTTCGCCACTTAATTCGAACTGTTTAACCGGCAGGTGTCGGTTTGAAAAGGTTGTCCCTACACGTTTTGGACTGCGATTTAAACAAGTGATGGACTATTTTGTTCATTAACTTTTGGAATTTAATGCAAAATTTGGTCCTATCACAGTATCACTTGGTCATTATTCATTATTCATCCTTTGAATAACAAAATTAGTCCAGTCATTCATCTTTAATGAAACTATCAATAATAACACTCAAGACTGAAACGAATTCAATTAAATTTTAGTTTTATGCATATACAGCATTCAGAATATAATTATGAAAAAAAGACACTAAAAACAAAAAGCAAAACCGTGGGTTAAGGTTGTAATGAGATAAAGTAACAATTAAAGGCATGTGCCCACTAAACGTCAATTGCGGCGCCAGATTGAGGGCTGAAACATACAACCAAGAGACGATTGGGCAATGAGTCTCTTGAGATCTGTGAAACATCACGCATTTCAATAACAACAGATACCTTCAAGTCTAAAATAACCTTTGCTAAATTAATTAACGTTCAAATGTTTGAAATTTCCTACAATTTTATTATTTTCCCTGCAATTTCGGACACTAATCTAGAAAACCCTATTAACAAAAGTAATCCCAAAAGCAACAAATAAACTAAAGTTTAGGAATGGCTTGGAGTAGGAGGAAAAGATCAAAGAAAAACACATCTATTTTTGCTTTGTATGTTGCTATCAACTTTTCACCCTTCGAAGCTCTTTGGCACCATTTACGTACGAAACCTAACTACTCTTTCAGAGAAACCTATGGTCATTCACTCGCTTTCCTTTTATTCATTCATGTTATACATACTTCAATATATTTAATTTTAGCTTAATCATTTCATTTCGATTGATCATATAACCCTTGATTACTAATGATTTTATAAAATTTAATTTTAAATAAATATATAATGTGTTAGAGATGCAACCAATTTCTATTTAGACCAACCCATAAAGTTATAATCAAAGTAATATAATCTGTTTGATCCTTATTAATAAATAGTGAGGATTAAGGTTTTGAGATGTAACATTTATAACAAATTTTGTGATTTTTGAAACTGTAAAAGCTTATTCTTTTTTGTCAGTGATTTTTGGGGTTTTTCACATAAATCTTGATTTTTTTTATTTTTTGTTCGATCCTTTTTGTTTACTATTGATCGTTCCGATAATTATAACATATTGATAAATGTAATTTTTAAAATTTATATATTTTCAAGTTTGATCCTAATATGTTCTAATTGAATGGAATATTCAGCAATTGTTTTTAGTCAAACCGTTGTTAATTCAATGAAAAATGATGGTTAAACAAATCTTATCTTATATAAAATAAGGCTAAACTTAATCGTATTTTCGCATCAATTTACCCTCGAAGTTACTCAATTACGTCATTCTATATCCTATCCTAAATTATAAAGCCTAATCCCTAAATCACAAGCTTATAACTTCTAAACCATAAATCCTTAATCATAAACCATAACTTAGTATTTTAAGTTAGGGATAAGATATAAAATGATGTAATTGAGAGGGTTAAATTAATGCGAAAACATGATAAGATCAAAAGTGATAAATTGAGGGACAAAGGAGAACCTTAAGCCATAAAATAATTTCAAGTAAGATTCATATATAATAAGGTTTAAATCAAATATATATTCAAATATAACTTAAAACTAAAATTTAAACGCTTAGAATATTTTGATGTAGTATTAACAGGCGGCTTATTGGATTTTGAGAGGGCAGAGAGCACGTGGCTTCTCAAGTTATTGTTTAGCGTTTACAACTCCATGTGCCTTTCGAGTTAATCTTTAATCTCCCAAAACGTTTTCCTTTTGTTTTCAGCTCAACTACCCTATTAGTCGTTGAAGTTTGATTAAATTTCTTTTTTTACCATAAAAGTTTGAAAATTATAAAATAATTATTAATATTATTATTTTATAACACAATCTATGAGCCTTGTCTTTTTACATACCCACAACCCAGCATTTTACTTCAATTCTATGATCAAAGGTTACTCCTTTAATGGCCCCTTCGAAGAAGCTATTACCTTGGTTTCTTTAATGAAAACACACTGGATTTTTCCCGACGAGTACGCATTTTTTGCTATTGTTTAAGGCATGTTCGAGTCCTTATGATCCGGTTTGAGTTTTTTTGACTTGATTCGACTTCAAATTTTGGAACTATATAATTTTAATATGAGAGTGTTTGATGGAATGTTGATATTAGGGTTGGACGTGGTTGTTTTTCATTGTATCGTGGAATAAATCTTTGTGGTACTGTTTTATTGTCGGATACTTTGTATTGTTTTAATCTAAATTGGATTTTATCTCAGTTGGATTTTATCGATTGGAATGATACTTGTGTGGATTGCATTAAGGGTAAGCAAACCAAACATGTATCAAAACAGGCTGCCACAAGGAGTAGTGGATTACTTGATTTAATACACAGATATTTGTGGTCCTTTCGATGTACCGTCTTGGGACGGTGAGAGGTATTTTGTCACCTTTATTGATGACTACTTTTGGTACTATTACCTATATTTACTGTATGAAAGAACTCAGTCGATGTCCTTGAGACATTCAATACGGAGGTTGAGAGGAAATTAAATAGAAAGGTTAAGATAATACGTTGTAATACCCCAAAATTTTGGTTAGTGACCAAAATATAAATTATGAAAGTTTGGTGGCCAAAGTAAAAAATCAGGAAAAGTTTAGGGACATAAGTGGTAATTTTCCCAAAAAGAATTTGTATTCCATAAATGGATAGTTTATTCTTGAGAGTGAGGTTTTATTGGAATCAGATTCTTGATTTGGAAAATGTGTTAAAAACTAGAAAGTGTTAAAGTCATATAAAAATTCGCTAAATCAGATCGAATAGAAAATTTGAGAAAATTTGAATGATGATAAATTAAGCTTAGAAATATTATTTTCACATGTTAAAATGATGGGAAATAATATGAACTATTGAATTTGAGAATTTATTTCTATATTCAATTTGGACCGTTGGATGAAAAATGACAAGATTGAAATTTTGGAAAGATTGCACGGACAAAGTTGTAAAGGGTGAATTATTTTGTTCATATTTGACTTTATAAAGATGACAAGGGTTATGTGGCTTGGTATGAATGTAATTATAAGGATTCATTAATGGTAAATTAGTCATTTCTCAATTAAATGAATTTTAAAATTTATTTAAGCTTAAATAAAGGATAAATTAACATGAAATTAACTAAACTTTCATGAGACCAAACCATTTTTCTGCTCCATTTCGTGCTACCCATGACCTAGGTAAGAGATATTTTATTTGTCATTTTTGAGCAATTTCCTTTGGTTTTTGGATTAAGCTGTGAAATATAAAACTGTTATATTCAAAAAACACTATCATTTGATATCATTATTGCATGCTAATCTTGCTTGAGTTTAAAGATCCTAAATTTTAGGGTTTATTTTCATATTAGGGTTTATTGAATTGATGATGAATTTTGATATTATTGAGGTTATAGAATCATTTACAAGCTTGTTTGTCGATTAAAATCACCTATACATGTCTATACATGCTTATGTTGATTTCGACCTAACCCTATATTTGGGGAAAGATACTGATTTGATGAAATTAAGTTAGAGTTTTGATTTTATAGATTTTATAATGTTGAATAGATGTTGATTTCATACTTGAATCAGATCAAAATTTAGTAAAATCATGAAAACTCTAATCTTGAACATACAAAACATTTAACCTTGACAATAGAGGATGAGAAAAATTATATAAAAATTATGTAGGGCATGGAAATGATGTAGGAAGTATTCTAAAAGCCTTAGAAAAATTTGGGGACCACTTTGTCATTTTATAAAAGTTGGGGGACCTAATCGATAATTATAGAAAAATTGTGGGTTGTTATGTAATGGTTAAATAGTTGAGGTACTATGCTGGAAATTAATGTTTGAGAGTTTAAAATGATGTTAGAATGTGAAATTGGATTATTTTGGGAGATTGGTAAAAGTTGAGGCTTAAATCACAAATATGGAAAAGTTGGGAACTTAAGTGAAAATGTTATGTAAAATTTGGATAAAAGGGACTTGAATGGCCAATTTTAAAGTGTTATGGTTAACAATTATGTTGTGATATGTAATTAGTATCGAATGAGGATCGAAAGAATTTTTAGGAAATTATTTTATATTTTTTTTGATAAGTAAGATTTTATTATCCAGAAAAACAGAACTACAAATCGTCCCAATGGGAGAATAAACAATTTACAACAAAATAATGGTTAGTATATACCCCAATTATAGCAGATAGTATAGTTACAAAAATCGTTTCTATTGATCTTCTTCCCACTAAGTTGAATCCGAACAATGACCTTGATAAGAGACAGAAGATGAGCAGCTTCTCTAGTTTTATGTTTGAAGATTCTTCTATTCCTCTCCTCCCAAATCATATAGATGTAGGAAGTCCATGTAATTTTCAGCAAGGTAGAGATTAAAGATTTTCCCTTCCATTCAACACAAGCCCATTCGATCATTTCTTCCCAAGGTAAATGAGGTTTGTGCACATGTGCCAAATTTAAGATAGAATTCCACAATAATTTGGCAAAGTTACAGTCAGTAAAAAGATGGTTCCTAGATTCGATAGCTTCGTTGCAAAGAACACATTGAGTATCAATGGCAATACCCATCCTTGACAGTCTATCCCTAGTTGGAAGTCTGTCAAGGATGGCCATCCAAGAGATCATACTAAACTTAGGGATATACATTGGAAACCAAATGATTTTATGCCATGACACATTACTTCTACTATCTCTAACGGCTTCCCAAATATCTCTAGTGTAAATCGTACCAGCATTCAGGATGAGAAGAGCAATATGTCTCA